GCCGCCCCGCGCCACACCCCGCCGTCGCCCGCGCCGCCGTCCGCTCGCCGGAAGCCGCCGGAGCCGCGCCGGAGTTCGAATCTCGCCGTACGATTTTTTTCGGTTTAGGTAAAAACCGTCGGTTTTTAAAAAAAACCCTAGTTACGTTTTCTAGACCGGTTCGTTGATTTTCTCGGTTTAGTTTATTTAGCGGATGTTCGTCCGTGCGTCCATTTTAACGAATGGTTTTCGCCCGTTAGTCACAGACAACGAACGTTCATTCGTTAGCCTGTTCGTCCGTTTTTCTTTTTCTCGGGTTTTTCGTGATTATTGTCGATCGCGATTTCTGATCCGATTTTCGTTTTAGTTTATCTTTTCGCTCGTTTATCGGAATCAGGCGATTCAAGCACCTAGATCTTCGTCTCAAAGCCCTATTTCCGTTTAACCAACTTGAACAAGATTTTGGTACTGTAAAATTTGACTTTAGTCCAGATAGTAATCGGATCTTGTTTCTTTCGCAGTTTGAGTTTCGTTGCTCCGTTTGATTTGATTCTTTTTGCAAACCGGAGTTCTTAAGTTGAACTTTCCGGTAGATTTTCTTATTTGAGTTTACTTGTGCATCTTTGTTTGATTGCTTATGTATGCTATTGTTTGTCTGCGATAGAACACCCGGAGTGCGAAGCGTGCTACTATGAGTCTCTAGGTTTCACGGATCATCAGCAAGGCAAGTAACACTTTGATCATACCCCTTTACTACCCAGGTTTTATGCATTAGTTCCAATCCTCAAACACTGCATGATTAGGATGTGATTAATTTGTGGGTTTGGGAAGTAGATGATGAGGTAGAACCTATTACCTGTTTTATTATCAAACCCTCGGGAGTTACCTCTATGTTGCTTATATTGCTATGCTATACTCGTAGACGTGGATTGGGTTTGAGTGTATCCATGACAGATGTGAGATTGTTAATTAATGGTTCAACTTAAGGTGGCAACTTTAATACACATCTGGGTGGATTGCTTGTTTGGACACCTGGAGAATCCAGTGTTGTCCTAGGATATCCCGGAGTACCTGTGTGATCATCCTACGGTCTGCCATCCAGGCTCGAAGGGATCTTAAGATTATTCATGCTAGAAACTTCCGTGTGCAGCCACAAGCCATTATGGGCTCTGGCATAGTATGAGTAAGTTGTGTGACCTCTTTTAGTGGTTGGCTAGCAGATGTAGAGGGAAAGTAGGTGTAACTGTCCACCCAGAGTAAAGAGAGAATGCTTCTGAAAGACTGTGTCTCGGTCATCCATTTCTCAAACATCATGTAGTGCGAGAAGTCCAATGGAGGAGATCGAGTCTTGTGAGGAAAAGTGCACAAACCTCTACAGAGTGTACAGCTAATCATGGTTAGCCGTGTCCCCGGTTATGGACATCTTGAGTATCTAGTACTTGGATTTTCCTATTGTATCTCATCACTCTAAATTAATGTGTTGGGTTAATGAACTACTTTAATTGGGATTGAGTTGGAGGAACCTTCTCAATGTTGTTTCAACTACCATGATAGTTAAAATAAAACTTATTCCTTTGTTGTAGGAAAAAATTGGCTTTTCTCAAAAACATTATAACCATACAACCTCCACCAGCCAAATATGCATATAGTGTTAGCATTATTCCTGTTCATTGCTCTACTGTGTTACATTCCAGCATATTCCATGTGCTGGCTCGTTTTCGGGCTGCAACATATCACGTTGCAGACTTTTCAGACGAGGAGTAAGGTTCGCTAGGTCGTTGTCGTGCAGCTCAGCTATGCCGTTGGAGTTGATGGACTCACTTTATCTTCCAAGCCTTCCGCTGTTTTCATATTAGATGGCCTTAAGCCATATTTATTGCAATAAGTTCTCTTTTGGAGACATTCGATGTAATAAGTGTGTGATTGCTACTCTATTATAAATCCTTTGAGTACTGTGTGTGTCAGCATTACCGATCCAGGGATGACACTAAAGCACAGAGACTTGACCGTCTGAGGTCGGGTCACTACAGGGGTGTTGCAGGGGCGAGGACGACTGCGACGTGGTTAGCTCGCCAGGGGGGAGGGAAGGGGGAGGCAACACAAGAGCGTGAGCGACGGGGAGGGTAGGGACGTGACCTCCGGGAAGAGTATGAAGGCCGAAGAGAAGGGAAGGACAACCATCAAACGACTATGCTGCGAGGTACGCCAACGACCGCGAAAGATGATGCAACCATGGCACGGCGGTGCTACAACCATAGGTGGTGGAGCTACAACCGTGGTATGGAGATGATACTCGGCCCACCGATGGTTGTGAAGGATGCTGAGACCTCGACGTGGTGGAGCTGCAACTGTAGGTAATCAGAGTTATGACCGTGGTTTGGCAATGCTACGTGACTACAAAGGATGATGCAACCTCGGCACGGCGGAGCTACAACCATAGGTTGTAGGAGCTACGAAGGCACTAGGATATTAGGATGGGTGCTACAAGCGTAGACAACCGGTGCCACGAGGACGACGACGGTGAGTGTCGGAGCTGCGTTGAGGGAGATGTGTGGTGGTGCTATGAGCTCGCTTGATGGATGTTGAAAGATCTAGTGGCGGTGGCAGCCCGACCAACCAGCTGCTATGACCGGTGCTACGACGGAACATGGTGGAAAACATTCTGGAGCACGCAAGTGGGGGGTGTTGCGGGGGCGAGGACGACTGCGACGTGGTTAGCTCACCAGGGTGGAGGGAGGGGAGGGGGAGGCAACACAAGAGCATGAGCGACGGGGAGGGTAGGGACGTGACCTCCGGGAAGAGTATGAAGGCCGAAGAGAAGGGAAGGAAAACCATCAAACGACTATGTGTGTTGCATCTGATGGCTCCTGAGGGGAGCGATCGGTCGACCGGCGGAGAGTGCCCTCCTTAAAAAAGAATCTTTCTCGATTCTAAATTGTACTAGTACGTGTTAATGCATCGCACGCTCGTTACACAGAACACCTCATACGCTTGATCAACACATTGCTCGGTGGAAATGCGGAATGCACCTACAACAGAGTTTTGAATCCTACTGTTTAGGCGCTATACGGACTCTACATGTCTCTTTGTATTTCGTCTTTTTTTTGGTTTGTGAGAGAGGACCTTATTTAGCTGTGTGCATCTTAATTATGCAGAGACCGGATGTAATACTTAAATATTCGAAGTAATAAAATGCCTCTTTTTGAAAAACAGAGTTTTGAATTTCCCCAAAGCTAAAACAGAGGAAGCCCCAAGGCAAAGAACCCACCCTTGCTCTCCGTGTCCTATCGGCACGTCGCGCCCCTGACGTCACCCGCTTGTGAGGCCCGGCACCACATCTTGTCGCTGTTGCCCGCCGCAGGGCGCACCACTCCAAAGAGCCCAGTAGTCCATCAAGCACACACGACACACACATATGGCTCTAGCCAAGAAAACAATCTGGCTTTTGCCCGAGCAATAATTCCAATCTTGTCTCACGCTACACAGCAGTCAAACAGGGAGGAGGGATAGCTAGCGGTCGAAACGGGAGCGAGCGAGAAGCCATACAAAAACGGCATTAATCCACCGTGATTCCAGCTACTTTGTTCTCCACCTCCTCCCACCGCTTCGTTCCTTTCAAGTCTCCGAGGGCGACCCTCTCTCTTCTTCTCACTCCAGCTCCAGTCCTGTGCTGGTAGTTATTGGTGAGTGCTACGTTGCTAGCGTGGGGTGTGACAGCACTGCACGGCGAAGGCTGGGCACGGTGGTTCGTGTGAGTGGCAGGCATGAGGACCGGGGGGATGCTGTGCCGGTCACAGGCGGCGACGGCGGTCTGCGTGCCGGGCGACGCACGGTCCATGGTCGTCGGGCGCCGCGCCGACCGGACAATCGCCCAGGACGCGCGCACCCTCCACGACGTCAGGTACGTGCGCCTTGGTGCCGACGGAGCCGGCGCCGCGCGTGTCTCGTCCAGGCGGGTGGCGCCGCCCCAGCCGCCGCCCATGTCGAGGAGGCGCGGAGCGACGGTGGCCGTGACGCTGCCGATGGTGACCAAGAGCCCCGTGGAGACGCCGGCGCGGGACACTGCGGCGGCTAAGCCGACACCCGCCACTCCTACGGCGGCCGTGGCACCCGGCGACCAAGTCCTCCAAGTACGTAGCCCCCCGACCAGCCGTATTCTGCTCCAGTACTTAGTGTCTTGTTTGCACATTTTGTTTACAAACATCTGGTCACCACGAGAAGATATCCACTGGTTGATTTCAATCAACAGTTTCACATCAGCAGAAGGACAAATCCTCGCGAACTCCTTGTGCTGATTGCACGCAGAAATCAGAAATGCACCTCTCACAAGCATACGCATTTCAGTTTTTTTGGCCTTTCAAACGTGTAATGCATTTGAACTATCATATGTTGAAAATTATAGTGCAAAATTGTAGTAACTGTGATGAGCCGGGCCCTTGCCCCAGGGCCCGGGATGCATTTACTCGGTAATTAATAGTAGCAGTAACTTCCGTCCATCAATACGGTGAAGTCAAAACTGAAGATATGGTAGTATGTGTGGGATACAGTAAAAACATTAACGTCAAATAAAGAAGCAAAAAGGACTAGGCTGGAGCACAGCGGAAGGTCACAAGCGGTCCAGATTGCAGCACAGTAGGTATGTCGGACAACAGTGGGAGATTACGAGCGGTCCAGATTACAGCACAGTTGATATGTCCTTTTACAGATGGAGAGCAGTGAGAGATTATATATAGACAAGCAGAAAATTTAAAGAGATTAGTACTAATTAGCTTGTGGACAATAGGTGCCGTCCAATGCAGGTTAGAGCAAGCTGTTTTTGCCAACAAATTTAATTTTTGTCAAGGTAATAGATAGCTTAGATAGAGATGCATTTGCTGTTTGTGTTTTGTGCTTAATTGCTGGAGATGTGATGCTCTTGTACGTACGTCCACAGGTGGTCGTGATGAAGGTGGCTATACACTGCCAGGGGTGTGCAGGGAAAGTGAGGAAGCACATCTCCAAAATGGAAGGTATGTACTATGTGCCAGGACTAGCATTAACATGTGTACCAAAATTACAAAAGCTTGCTATTTTCCATGTGGATTTTGCCATCCGTGGTAGTCTCGAAACAGTCATCCACCCCGCTTTATATTAACAAGGCTACATGGCAAATCATACAAAGTAGGAGCATTGAGGTAGTCTTCAAGAGCTCATCAACAAAAATACAAGACGTGGCAGCGCGGGGGAAGGGGATGTAGGTGAGAACGAATTATATATACCTAAATAGTTGATCTCCGCCAACTCCAATTCTCTTAACATGCAACTATGCCATCATGCATGACCTAAATAATTGATCCCCACCACTAACCACAATTCTCTTAGTAACATTCAAATATGCCATCTCATCATGCCAACGTGCATCAGAAAAGACCCATATTAAAATGCCCCATGCATACTACTCATATGTAATAAATATTCCACAACTATGGAATATTCAAATGTGTACTAAATTATATGTTAGTTTCAATTTAGTCTAAATACTAATATTTCATACTAACAAATCTGACTGAAATAATTTCAATAAATTCCGGCAGCAACTTGTGCGGCATCATGTCCAGTTAATAGTAGTGTGTGTGATTTTCATTTAGCATGTGTTCCCTCACACTTATGTCTTCGATATCTCAGGTTGCATTAGTCTCAGTCTACTAAACATGTATGCACAACACCATAACGATAACTGAAATTTTCTTTCCTAGATTAATACTTCGTTTGATTTCTTCCCACCTCTTTGTATCTTGTAGGTTCTCGCAAACAAAGTTTTCTTTTCTGCTTAGCTTTTCTTCATATGCTTAGATTATTTCGTATAGCTGCTCGGTTAAAATCCCACGCTTGAGAGTTGAAAGCACCGACATAAATATCAATTACTCTCTTTGTAAAGAAATATAGATCTCGATTTCTTTACAAAGCGAGTAGTTTTGAAGTACAACGACTATACTCAGTACAACTCCTAGCTGATTCCAACGCTACAATCTACTCCCTCCGTTCCAAATTACTTGTCGCAGAAATGAATGTATCTAGAATTAAAATACATCTAGATACAACCATACATGCGACAAGTAATTCGGAACGGAGGGAGTAGTGCCTAAGTTTGGAAACGAAAACAGGTATACACTAAAGAACTATAGCAACGACGGGTGGCAGTATGTACTCCCTTTGTAAAGAAATATTTCTTTACGTGCTTATATTTTCTTTACAGAGGGAGTATCTAATTATTCTGTGTACGTACAAAAATTACCCTAAATGTACCAACGAGATCCAATGTGGAGGGCGGGGGAGCCCCGTGGACAAAATATATACGAGTAGTAAAATGGAGCCCATCCGAATGCGACACCACAAATTCATTCCCGACGAGATTCGGATCGTGGTCACCCGGGCTGCGCCACTGGGCACTGCCGAGTTCCAACATATCCATGTGACATCACAACTGGTCTCGAACAGATCTTGCAGCTTGCACTTGCCCATCCACCACCCTTCCTACTGCAGAGTCTCTGAAAAGGCTCTTTCTCTGTGGAAAGTGCAAAACACTAGTTGAGCAGCCTTTGAAAATTCATACGTTTCAGAAACCTCACATGCCACATACATCTTTCCGAAACCCTGAATAATTCTCGCGGTATATGCCAAACAGAGTGACGTGCATGCATACATAGAAGAATATCGTATATGGATTGGCAGGTAGGCAGGTACTCCCTCCGTCCAATAATATAAGATCGTTTTGCAAGCTGTTTTAGCTCACAAAATGACCTTAAATTATGGGACCAAGGGAGTAGCTACGTTACAAAACTGTGTCTATGTTGCATGTTTCTGCGCAGTGAGGCAGCTATCTAGGCTGTATGTCTCCAGCGACTGTCAAAAAAAGTAAAGACTGGTGACTGGCGCATGCATGCATGCATGCATGCGTGAAGCTAACGTGTTGGCATGGGGTAGAAGTAATTCTGTTGGTTCATGCATGCTTGTTTGATGGACCGCTGGGTCGGGTTGTTTTCACTGACTGCGTGGAAGCAATGCATGTGTGCAGGGGTGACATCGTTCAGCATCGATCTGGAGAGCAAGAAGGTGACGGTGATGGGTCACGTGTCCCCGGCGGGTGTCCTCGAGAGCATCTCAAAGGTCAAGAAGGCTGAGCTGCTCATGTGAATCTCCTCATCGTCCATCCTACCCAGCATGAAGTCTTATTAGCTGAATTCGGAAAAGAAAAGAAAAGACACTTCTCACCGGCTGACAATGGGATCCACCAACAGATAAATAAACTCGAGCTTAGTATTTGTACGGATTTGTACTAAATGGCCCATTGGCAAACTTAATTCGCTCACTGAACTCCATAAAACTTATATCGGAATCTCGTCCCTCTTGTTCGCGTCTATCAAAGGGGCGCCTAAATTGCATGTTAAATTACCATGCTTTTTCCCTAAGGTGTATTTGACTTTTATCGGTTCACGGTCGTCGGTTACGCCGCAGATGTGGCATGGGCCGAAGACGGCATGTCCTAAGGCGTGACACTTATTTGAACACCTCGCTTTCAATTGGAAAGAATCCAAGAAGCTTTACAAGACCTTATTTTTTGGGTTATAATATTGGACGATCTGATTTGTGTTGTACTAGTTGCCAAACCATTAAGCGAAAATTCACAGGAGCGCTCGTCCTTGTCTGGTCTCGGTATCTTGCACGGTCATTTGTCATATGGATCCGACACAGTGTACATTCGTGAGGCAGAACTCGATCAATGCTACATCGAGTTGGCCCACCTTGCACACGTCGTCACTTCGGTGCTGGACCTGACGACCAGCTCTCCTTGTATCCACGGCCCAGTTCAGGGCCATCCGTTATGTGCCATCCAATGCTCTCGGCGTCGGGCCCAGAGGAAGAGATCTATCACTCACACTCCACTAGTGTGGTGGTGCATTTTTCAGTTATCTCCTCGAGCACACTAACCCTATCAATGGTGAACCAACAGCCGCTTCAAGATCCGGTTGCGCTCCCCATCGTGCCATGCTTGGACTGCGCGTGGGATATAGTCACCTGCGTCGCTCGCGGCGTTTCTACAAGTGTGTGAATCACAATGTAAGCAATCTATATTTTTCAGTTCAGGGACTTTCAAGCCCATTCAGCCACCTAGGGTGTGTTTGGTTATCATCTCAAATATTGCCTGCATTGCATACTTGTCCCAGCTCAGTCTAGCTGCGCAAAAACATGCCAAAAACCAACATCTGTATGTTGTTTTGTCGCATGCATTGCATCAGTGGCCATTTAAGGGCAGGTTGCTTGATTGCATCACTACTGCAGGATGCTGCTAACGCGACACTACGATTAGAGACTCTTCAAAGAAACTGTGTGCGATGCAATAATCGCAAATGGTGGTGTAAAAAAAACCGTCAAAAAAGATGCAAAACGTTTGCGATGGTGGAGCCATCAAACACGGTTCAGATTTTAGTTGTGTGTGCGATGCAGGGCATACGGTTCAGTCCAATGAACTGTTTGCGATGAGGCGGAACAAAAGAAACGGACAGCCTGATGAAGGCGTGTGCGATATACAGCATATGGTTCACTCGGATGAACTGTTTGTGATTAGGCAGCACAAAAAAAACAGTCAGCCAAATCAAGATGTGTGTGATTGAGGACATACGCTTCAGAAGGATTAACTGTTTACGATTAGGCAACAGAACAGAAACGGGTCAGCCAGATCAAATTGCCTACGATTAATGACATACACTTCACATGGATGAACTGTTTGTGATTAGCCACAATAAACTAAAACAGTTAGATAGATCAACGTGTGTGCGCTAGACGGACACACACATTCTAATTAAAAGAAGCGTGCGCGATGGTAATAACGAGCGCGCATGGTTGTTGGAACAAGACATGTGCTAACATTGCCTATTGCGGTGCACCCTTTGGTGCAAACGCCACGTACGCGGCCGAGAAGGCGTACGTGCCCACGTTGCGCCTTCCGGGAATAGTGCCGCACTTATAACCGTCACTAAATTTTGAGCACGCATTCCGTCACATTCCAAATTATAAACCTGTTCACACTGATCAAAACCTAAACAGTTTCCCACTTATGAGCGTATTACTACTCGGTTATAAATACTACTACTCCAAGATGACTGCACATTCCTCCTCAACTCCTCATCCATAAAAACAAAGTCATTAATCATTGTTCCCTTTGCGTCTGCCATGGCCAGCGTGAGTTCTGTGTCGAGAGATTGCCACCAATGAGATGCGAGCATGGAAGCGGAAGCACGAGAGATGTCCCGCCTCGCCGCGAACGCAGCCGACATGTCTCGCCGCATGGCCGTAGCAGCACAGAGGTCCCGCCGCGCTGCCGAAGCAGCACAGAGGTCCTGCCGCGCCGTCGATGCGGCAGACTGGTCCGGCCGCGCCGCGGAAGTAGAAGAGATGTCCCGTCGCGCCGCGAATGCAGCAGAGATGTCCTCTCGCACCACGGTAGCCTGGGAAAATGTCTCGCGGGCTGGCGAGGACTCTTACAGGTGCATGCATGCGATCGTCCATAGCCAGATGGATCAGATCTCTGGCTGGGCGAGATTGCAGGACAACATGAAAGCCTCTTTTGCCGGCTTCATCCGGCAACTAAATGAGAGCAATGCGAAGCTTCGGGCCAAGTGCAACCTGCTGAGGGCGAAGATCGTCAGAAGTGCGGAGCAGCAGGATGAGATCGCTGCCTTGTTGAAGAGGATCGGCGTCATCGTCGAGAAACTTATGGACGAGAATGCCATATTGTGCATCGAGCGCGGAAGGCTGGTGGAGGAATCCTTGGATGCTCTCAAGCAGCATCTTGAGGACAAGAAAGAGCTCATCGCCACTCGTCGTGGAGACTAGTTCTTGCGGCCTGCGGCAACGTAGAGATTAGCGAGGCAGATCATTGTCTTCCTTCTTCTTTTGCCCTTTTGTATTTCGGGCGTTGCCGCATGTGGCTTTTTTAATTATGTTCCTAAATATGTAAGACAATCATTATTCACTGTCATCACCCTTATATTCATCATGATTGCTATAAGTCGCAGTTGATGCTATATAGGTCCATTACATCAAGATCCGTGCAAAACTTTCTTTTCAGATTTTCATTTTCTCTCTTAAATCACAGTCCAGTGAGACACATAGCCACGCCATAGAACTGGGGCTCGGGCACCATTAATGGAGACGTTGGGAGGGAAGTGCGCGGCGGGTAGAGGTCAAAGGGCTCTCCTCCCGATGAGCATGCGTAGGGGTCTGATCGCACCCCTCCCGTACTCAAATAGCTACCCCGCACGGCACCTCCTAGCCAATAAAAAAGGGACGCATGGCGACACGTAAATGGTAAGTAGAACGCCCACGGTTTCAATAATACTTGTGTTTCCGATTTGTAACGTGACAACACTTGTTCCAAAATAACTTTGTTGATTGTTAATGTGTGCGCCTGCGCAAATCAGACAGAAAAATTACCACAACATGTTGGTGCCATGTCATGACACCATGCCAAGTTTCATGATTTCAGGCGTGTTTTTGATTTACAGGAATTAAAAAACCAAGTTTCTCAATCTTTCCGGCCGAGTCACGTGCCCAGATGTTTGAATTTCATTCTCATTTCTTGCATGGGACCTAGAAATTCACCCAAGGACACACATGTGATTTTTCAAACAACTTTGGTACACTGGAGCCTGTGCTTGTAGTTCAAATTTGAATTATGCACATTAAATGCGCAGAAACTCAACTAATGTATAAAAAGGCCAAACGAACCCGAAATAATTCCAAAATTTAGCACGATACTTCTATTTGGTATAATTTGCCTGTGTAAAAAAATTAAGACGGGAGAAGGCAGTGTTGTTTCGCACACGAAGGTGACACGTTCCCTCTTGGAACCACGAGCCTTCTTGAAGGAAGCTCCGGTTTGCAAGAAGCTTACACCAAAGCTTGTCCCAATTCGGCCAAAAAATTTACCGCGGCATGTTGGTGCCATGTCGTGACACCATGCCAAGTTTCATGATTTTCAGACGTGTTTTGTATCTACAGGATTTAAAAAAACCAAATTTCTCAATCTTTCCGGCCGAGCCACGACACCCAGATGTTTGAATTTTATTCTCATTTCTTGCATGGAACCTATAAATACACCTAAGGACATACATGTGATTTTTCAACCAACTTTGGTGCACTGGAGCATATGCTTGTAGTACAAATTTGAATTATGCACATTAAATGCACAGAAACTCAATTAATGTATAAAAAAGGCCAAAGAAATCTGGAATAATTCCAAAATTTAGCACGATACTTCTATTTGGTCTAATCTGCCTGTGTAAAAAATTAAGGCAGGAGAAGACAGTGTACATTTGTCATTTCGCACACGGAGGTGACACGTTCGCTCTCGGAACCATGAGCCTTCTTGAGGGAACCTCCGGTTTGCAAGAAACTTACACCAAAGTTTGTCCCAATTCGGCCTAAAAAATTACCGCAACATGTTGGTGCCATGTCATGACACCATGCCAAGTTTCATGATTTTCAGTCGTGTTTTGGATTTACAGAAGTAAAATACAAAGTTTCTCAATTTTTCTGGCTGAACCACGACGCCCAGATGTTTTAATTTCACTCACATTTCTTGCATGGGACCTATAAATACACCCAAGGATACACATGTGATTTTTCAACCAACTTTGATGCACTAGAGCATGTGTTTGTAGTTCAAATTTGAATTATGCACATTAAATGCGCAGAAACTCAATCAATGTATAAAAAGGCCAAATAAATTCGGAATAATTCCAAAATTTAGCACGATACTTCTATTTGGTCTAATCTGCCTGTATAAAAAAATTAAGGCGGGAGAAGGCAGTGTACGTATTTCCTTTCGCACACGGAGGTGACACATTCCCTCTCGGAATCACGAGTCTTCTTGAGAGAAGTTTCGGTTTGCAAGAAGCTTACACCAAATCTTGTCCCAATTCGGCCAAAAAATTGACTGCAGCATGTTGGTGCCATGTCATGACACCATGCAGAATTTCATGATTTTCACGCGTGTTTTGCATTTACAAAAATTAAAAAACCAAGTTTCTCAATCTTTTCGGCCGAGCCACGACGCCGAGATGTTTGAATTTTATTCTCATTTCTTGCGTGGGACCTATAAGTACACCCAAGAACACACATGTGATTTTTAA